CTACTGAGTTCATTTAGTCTAAAATAATATTTGGTTGATGTATAACTAGTCTTTATTTCCCGTGACACTTAGTTTCTATAGCTACAGCCACTCAGTGGTATAAAGTGAATGGAAGGACAATACAGGTTGCCGTTCGGTAAAGGTTTTAATGTATATGAAACAAAACAGTGAAAACTTTCCCTACATAGAAGTATTTAGATTTTGCTTTTAAAGTGTTTCTAAGAAGAGACCTTCATGTAAACCGCACCAAGTTTGATTGAGAGAAGCCAGTATAAATTGAAATGTTACCAAGAGAGAGGGGTTATGGATGAATACTTAGCTGGGAAGAAATCGACCTCACACAAAAGAATGAATATATCTCTCCCGTCAAAATAGACAGAAAAAAACGATGAGCCATATATTGGCCGTCTCTGCAATCTATCGGATCAGTGACAAAACACAAGCTTAAACTAAAAGACTTCCCTGGACTGAGTAAGGCCATTATTCTGAAACCATGGTTTCCAGATGGGTGTTCTGAATTTATCAAATCGAAGGTGTTGTGGCTGTGTGTCACTTCCCGAGTATGTTAGATTGCTGAGATGGTCACGAGATGGGGAATAGTATTGGGTCTCTTTTGACGGGAGAAGTAGCTGGCTTTTCTTTATTTCTTTTTGAAGAGAGAGAGATTGAGATTGAAACTGATTTATTACAATGTCCATATAAGATTATATAAGGTGTAAATACAGATAAAATATAAATGTGAAGAAAGAGACAATTGACAATTGACATAGTTTTATTGACCTCCTGTCAATACATGTAAAGTGAACAGTCCGCCGCTCTATTTATGTGATAATGAGAAATTTACAATGAGGTTAATGGTTATAACAAAAATTATTAAAAATACTGTGAAGAGAGAGAGAGGGAGATTAAGTACAAGAGATTTCCTAGATGCATGTGTGTATTAAACGAGGCGTATTTACATATGTATCCGTAGAACAAAACGTATTTGCTCAGGTTGTCGAAGAAAGAGAGAAAACAGCAGCCCGGCAAAGCAACGTAGAACAGTAACCAAGACCATTAATGTGAAAACGTCAGGCTAGCAGGGAGAGGTTTCTTTTTATAAAAAGAAACTTCTAGCTGTAAGAGCCTGATGTTTTACTTTTATATTGTTATATGGGGTTATTTATTGAACTTCGAATTAGACCAAGAGTCGGTACACTACAGCTTGCTAGCTACATGCGGCTCTTTGGATGTGAAGCAGAGGCTTTTTATATAGTTCCATAGGTAAATATATATTTATGCGAGTACACCTATCCCCCGATTTACACGGTACTTGTTTTACACGTTTTCGCTTTTACACTGTTTACCAAATAAGTTTTTTTTATCGCACTATACTAAATGCTACTGTGATTGAACACATGCGCTGTGTACACATCTTACGAGGAATCCCGAGCTTATGTGCTGACTACATATTTTAACCTGTCAATGTATTTTATTTTTATTTCTGTGTACACCTATACCCCGATTTACACGTTTTTCTCAGGAACGTATCTACCGTGTAAATCGGGGGATAATTTATTGTTAGCAAAAAAAATGTAGCTCTTTAAAAACTTTGAAATTTTGTTAATTGCAATTTTTGACTCATCCGACTCAAAAGTTTGCCGACCCCTGAAATAGAACATTGTTTAAGAAAAGTTTGATGTATTAGTTAGTGATGTATGGATAAATAGATGGAAGGTATCGAGTGATTTATGTCATATAATGGTCCTTACAGGATTCTTGATCAAAGTCAACAAAGGATGAACAAATATATGGCTGATGGTATGGAAGTGTTAATTTAGAAGACACTTCTGATTATCTCAGTTTTTAAATAGTTTCCGTTTGAAAGCGACTTTTAAAGAACTTAGCTATTACTCTATTTAGAAGTGACTTTTATTGAACTGTGAAAAAAAAAAATAGTACAAATGTGATATTGCACTGGGATAAGGTGCATAAATTATGTGTAATGTTCTATTTTAAAAGAACGAGTTTCACGAGACATGAGAAGATTTCAGACAAAAGAAACTCTAACTTTATTACTTTTTTTTGACCTATATATAAATATCGCGCCTATCGCGGACATGCAAATTCACCATCCTTTTAAAAGCAACAAAATGTAAAAATATATACAAAATAAAACAATACTATGCAAATATCTCAAGGCATGCGACATTATGAAAAAAGGCATCTCCTTATCGTGCAACTGAATGCATCTATCGGAATAAATATCAACTATTTTCTTTGATTTATAATTATTCCAGAATTGGCCAAATACCCATTCTTTATTAATCAAGAAAAGCTAACCAAGTACGCGTTTCGGGCTGTTGGTCCTCATTGCATTTTTTCATAATTTTATTGAACTGTTTTAAATGGTTCTGATTTTTATAAAAATGAAGAATACCTTCTCAGCTAGATCTTATTCTTAAACGACTTTAAAAGGACTGTTTTAGATGGTTCCTATTTGTTAGCGACATTGAAAGAGCTCTGGTTTATAGATGACTTTCAAATGAAAGCAACATTTGAGAAACTCGTGTTTAGCCGATTTTAAGAAAATACTTTTGAAGAACTGATTAATATAGATTAAAGTTTCCAATTATAAATATGTCTTCTGGAATACACTCCGGTTTAGCTGGCTTTCATTGAAAGCGAGTTATAAAGAACTCTTGTAAAAATTCGATACTATTTTAGACGTAAAGATAGAAGTTGCATGGCCGGTATTCATATTTCTATGAAAAATAGACACTTCGGCCTGTTAAGAGTTTTTTTTTTTCTCAACGTAATTTTTAACGCCTTGCCAAATGCTTTATTTTTATTTACTTCTCCTGACGAAGACAAAAGATTTTTGTCGAAACGTTGAGAAAATAAAAAAACTCTAACTGGCTGAATTGTCTATTTTTCATAGAAATATCATAGACGTGTATGAATATTTAAAAAAATAAAACAAGTTCTACTGCCCTTACTGCAATGGAAAAAAATAATGGGAGGGTTCACCACTGATGAGCCAGGCCCTCTATTAATTTTTCCATTGCAGTAAGGGCAGTAGAAATTGTTTTATTTTTAAAAGAATCATACGCGTCTATAATAGTTTCGAATTTTCATAACAGATGACGCGCTAATGCATCATAAAGAAATCTTGTATATTCGCTTTCAATATATATTTAGACTTTTCTAGGGTAGAAAAACTAAAATTATTGAAATTAATCAACCTAGATCTTCAAGCCTCCATCTTTCAGCCTAAAACAACACCGATAAAAAAAATGGGTTCGTTTTCCAAAGGAAGGCCTCGTGAGGCACGATTCTTTTTGTTAATATCCCAATAGGCTTCTTTTAGATCCCTAAACAATCCAATTACTTTGATGTCCTGGGAAAGTTATTGAGTTCTATAGAAACACCCTTTTAATTCAGATGATCACGTGGAATAACTTACATGTGAAAATACAAATGCAAAAAAAAATGTATTTCAGATCGTTATTCTCTCCTACATAAGTTATATGTATATAAGTGAGCTATAAAAAAGGCTTAGCACAACATAAATCTACATCCTAAAGCAATCCATCACATCTACATCTTGTTGAACAAGAATCAACGCTTCAAGACTTACGAGCGATGGAGGAAAAGGCAATAAATCCTTCTTAAATGTTGGAGATATTTCTGGGGCATCCTTTATGGACGAAACTCGTCTAAAAATAAGAAAAAGATACTTTGTACAAATTTATTTAAAACTTCTATATATTTTTAAATAGTTAAAGATGGGGAAACAAAAATAAATTTACTTTTTTTACCCCAGTAATTGATTTATGAGTAGAAAGGCAAAAATATTGCTTCTATATTTTATTTTCGTTTCTAAGTTGGAGATTGTTGAAACTTTGTAAATTCTTATTGTTGTGCTAAAGTAGGAGGTTCTAGAAAAACCAAGAACTCTCGGAAGATTTCGATTAGTAATGTTTTCTATATTTCTCAGTAAAACCTGTCTTAAGCGGACACTGTCCTATGCAAAAAGGTATTGTATTACATTAGAAGGAATCGCCAGACATCTTGAAGAAAGAATTAAAGTTTTTGGCAACGAGTTTCTCTTGTGCGGTATAATCGGCAAACTTTCGGACTATGACGTTCTTCAACAGATACCTATATAAGAAACTATATATATAGTATCCTCTAGTTTCTTGGATAGTTGCCTGTTGAAGGATGTCATAATCCGAAAGCTTACCGATTATACAACATAAATAAAGGAAACTCGTTCCCGAAAACTTTAATTCCTTCTTCAAGGTATTGTATGTGTTGTTGTTGTTTCTTATCCCCTTGTGTAAAGATTACACGAATTCCATGAGTCCATGCTCCTCGAGCTGTTTTATGATAAGCAGCGGCTTCTCCCAAAGATCCTGTTTAGTGCATCTAATGCAAGCCAGAATGTGTTCTGGAGCTGCAGGTACCAAACTACATTTTGGGCAAGTGGGATAAATTTTATTATTTTCTATCTTCAATGGTTTGAGATGGCCTGTTCTAAATCTTGCTAGTGTTGTTTGATGCTGTCTATTTCTGAGGTTCAGAGCTCCTCCTGGGTTCACTCCACTGTACCAACTGTGCTTAGGTGGGATCCTCCAGTTCTTGTTTATTTTTGTTTTGGCTACTGTTTCTATTTCTTTAAAAGTAAGTTTATTTTTCTGTGGCAAGGGTTCTTTTGTGCCTTTTTTCGCTAGAGCATCAGCAGCTTCATTTCCTTCAATGCCAACGTGTGAGGGTATTCATTGAAGGTGAATTTTTGAGGAGGTATTGTATGTAACTACCATCACGTAATCCCATAGTACATAGGTATTCTTGAAGCTATGTTTAAAGTCAGTCTGTACAATATATTCATTCTTCAATATCACAGGATTGTGATTTCGACAAATTACAGAAAGGCATAAACGCCGGGCAACTCTTTGTATTTCTTTGGTTAAAGAAGCTTTCGGTCAAGTTCTTTCTCAGCTAAACTTTGTTTATACGTTATAGTTAGCTGAAGATAGGCATGGCATCTGCCTGGTAAGCGGAACACTATGGGTTCGATTCCCATCCCTGGACACTTTTTATTTTTCCGTTCAACATTACTGTTCACAATTCATCCTTTCATACTTCCTAAGGATTGGAATAGTCGTTATTTCTCCTTTAATAATGAAAATTATAGTTAGCTGAAGATAGGCATGGCATCTGCCTGGTAAGCGGAACACTATGGGTTCGATTCCCATCCCTGGACACTTTTTATTTTTCCGTTCATCATTACACTTCACAATTCATCCTTTCATACTACCTAAGGATTGGAATAGTCGTTATTTCTCCTTTAATAATGAAAATTACGAATTTTCGTTTTGTAAAAAGAAACATTTGCGGTAAAACATGTTAAACGTCATTCATAGGGTTTCTTTAACCAAGTAAATGATAAAGAGTTACGGTGTCTTATGCCTTTTTGTAAGATTCGTTAGCCTTCTGCGTGGAATCCTCTATATACCTTTTACTGTAAATTTAATTTGAATATCACATCATTTTGTTTGAAAGCTTCACTGCGTTGAATTTCAAATGGAACTAAATCAAAATTTATTATCAACTTAATAATGAAATCACTCAGCGCATCATTTATCTTTTTTATAATCATTTAGAATAAATTTCTATTATTCGTAAACTGAGGATAGACAAGTCAAGCCTTCCCAAATATTTTTCACAATCAGTTCCCTAGTTGTATAAATTCGTCTTACATATGATTAAAAAAGAAAGAAATAGCGTTTTATAATCCCATCGTCAATTTAAGTTATTAACATATTTAAATTTTTTGAATTTCAAGACAATGAATCTTGCAAAAAAATTCAATACTAAATTTAAATATTTAAAATAAAACCTACAGTTTAAGATACCTTAGAAGGCCTTTGTATTGTTTACTGGGTTAAGTTGTTTAGAATTTTATGAAATATTTGTACAAAAGATAGAAATGTCCCTTTATATCCATTTAAGTAACTGCCAATGCATTTTTAAATATAAATTTGCATATCTTCTCTATTTCATTGACCTTATATTTGCCAATGCTTTACAATTGTAGAAAAAAAGTATATTTATAGGTATTGGAGTTTTGTTTGAATGGAATTAAGAACACAAATCACATTAACCTTTCTCTATTTCGACGTTTCGGTGATTCAGAAAATCATTCAGCCTATATGTTAAGTTGCATGTGATTAGGATATGCATATACAAGGGAGGTAGGTAGGGTAGGGAAGGTAGGGATTATGTACTCTGTCCAATATGCAATTATGTATGTCGAAGACCGTAGGGGGAAAAAAGGTTGTTAATATTTCAGTTCTGAAGAGCCTCTGTATGAAGCGCCATCCTTCCAAGAGAAGATAAGGATTCATTCCACTTCAGAATGACAGGATGGAATCCTGCAAGAATCCTATCTTGATGGGTTAAGAATCCCATGACAGCTGTCAGACGAACAATGCTCAGTTTGTTCTTCTGTCATGTTTGGTGAGGAGTCGTCTGGTTACATTTTAATGGATAAGTTTTGGGATGGGTGCTAGCCTTAGTGAGAAATTGATCCTGTGGATTCCTTCTCTGTAGACGTGGTGTATGGGCGAATAATATGTAGTCGAAGTCTCTAAGAAATCAGCTCTCGTTAGCCTTAGGTTGACCATATATTAAACTTCCATAACTTCATTTATAAAGCATGAATGTTTCTTTTTTCAAACACAAAAAAAAAAACTCTTCTACTGTCCTTACTGCGATGAAAAATATATTGGAAGGGCTTAGCTTATCAGTGGTGAACCCTCCCAGCGGTTTCACCAATTTAATCCACCAGACCGCTTCTTTTAGAGCTCCAATACTGTATTGGACGATTTTGCTTATATAGGCTGCAATGATGGGTGGAATCTTAGACATATATATGGATATTAATATACATTCTATTTCTTTTTTTATTATTTTTTTTACATTGACCTATAAATATATATACCTCTTTTTAAATGTCCACTTCATCACTACAATATGTAAAAGTATTTGTACTTTCATTTGTACAAGTACTTGTTATTTAGTAGCTTTCTATAAGTGCTGGTTTAATTTCCAAAACCTCTTCTCTATTGAAGGTGAACAGAGGTTCAGTTCCACTCCTACATGTTGGGGCGTTTCTAAATGGTGTTTTAAATTGTTATTTTCATTTTGTGAAAATAGTGGTGGTGTTTTGTCCTGATTTTGTTGCTCCATGGAAAGGGGTGCCATTGCCCCGTTAGTCAGTCAAATTTCAGAGTTCCCTGTAGGCCTTCACGATTACCGTAGCGGCTCGGGGCTGTCCCTACCGTCCTCGCCCTACAGGGCAGTCCCTTACTTGTGCTGCTTCTCCCGCCCGCCACGTAGAGGAGGGGTTGTGAAAATGTTTAAAAGACTTTAAACAAGTATATCAGTTCGGTTGAAATATCTTCTAATTTGACGAAGGAGTCATATAAACGATTGTTATCGCATTAGGGGCATAGAGTTTCCTTTAAATCTTCTTAATTTTCAAATCGCATGTGCGACAGAAGTTTTCTAATGTTCTTTTTTATTGATAGTTGATTCGTCAAATTATCTTTGTCGGTAAAGTTTATATACATGTGATTCAGGCTTGGATTTCTAACATTATTAAAGTACTTCGAAGTACATTTATGGGAAAGATACTAAATCTTCCTGAGGACCCTTGCTATCTCTAGTATTCAGAGAAATTTTGAATATGTGAAACTATACTTAAAGGTTTATGTAAACCATGTAGATGTCTCTCTCTCTCATCGAGAGAACTAAATCTTGCAATGGTGGAATGGGATTCTAGGATTAGTCGCCAACACTAAATAGGAGAAATGCAAATAGAACTAGATACCTTAGGAGACACTTTTATTATTAGGATCAGTTGAGGTATTAATTCAGTATTAATTTAAAGTATTAATCTCGAATATATGGCACATCTAATTGGTATTCGGCCTAGATTTGCTGTTTATGACTAATAAAAAGCAGAGAAAATCTTTAAACTTTCTTTTAATGTGTTTTAATTATGTTTTGGAAGATGGGTGAGTGTTTTAAAAAGTATAAATAAATAGCTTTCTAACTCAGTATTGCCTTTTTTGGTCAATTGAGATTAATGTGAATATTGAGAGTATATCTGGACATGTACAGATATACTGATGTTAGAAAACTATGCATACAAAGTACATTGTAGTGTATGTGGTCGCAAACTTGAGGATAAAAAGTAGATTCTCTGAGATACATGTTATGCATTGATTTGACAGCATCTAAATGTTCAGAAGAGAACAAATCCCACATCTTATTTTGATCAACATATTCAACAACATTTTTCCGAACGATATTAAAAGACTTCAACCAAACTTTAAAATCTTGCACAAATGTAAAACATCGAAACTTTTTTTAGAAGAATAGTCATATAAAAAAAACCCCTATTGTGTAGTAAAGCACGTTATATATATATTAAACTCTTATACATTACAGAATGAAAGAGTGATGAAAATGTATTTGAGGGGTTTTTCTTTTTGAATAGAAAGATGCCAGGAAGTATTCAGGATGTACTTTTTCTTACCTCTTCTCCATAAGATTTATTTCAAGAATCCTATTACACCTCAACACCCGCGTCATAAATTACCCTATAAATTGAAGGAGAGCTGAAATTTACGAAGAAATAGATCCTGTCAATGAAATAAGATACAATTTAGAATACGGATGGAAATTAGAGGTCAAGAATGGTTTAATTTCCCCATGCTTAGTTCAGGGGCCCTCACGTATTTGCCCTCAAGTAACCTCATCAGTACCTCAAGATATTTGCAGGGGACCGTGAAAATTAGTGACAATTAAGGATCAACCTAAATACATTTGCCCTTATTACGTGCCAATGTAGATACTGTCAATTCTTCGTCTACAGTGAGTATATCTCAGCTATTCTTTTTCCAATGTGGACAGGTTCATATAATCCGTCCAATCTTGCTTAAGTGCTATCTGCTCGAATGCACAGCTCCATGGCTTGACCGCGTCTTGAGTGAATCTAATTAAAGGCATCATTATGTTCCCCCTTATTATGGATTGTGTAGGCAGGAATTTTACTGTCGCCACACTCGCCTGTAGATATCTGCTGTCACGGTCACTCGCACAGGTGGATGGTGGAAAACATCGATCTAGCTGTCCATCCGTTAGAACTTCTCAAGACATGCGTTCTCGTCAAGGAATTTATAGACATCAGTTCTGTTAGTTTAACCATTTCTGTACATATGGTTCCTACTCTAACTTTCTTGGATTTGTCCATACTTGAGGATGTCTTTGGCAAGTTAGGTAGATCTGTATTTGGGTTTTTAGTTATGTAGATCTGTATTTGGTTAGTTAGGTAGTTAGGTAGATCTGTATTTGGTTAGTTATTTAGTTAGTTATGTAGATCTGTATTTGGTTAGTTGGTTAGGTAGATCTGTATTTGGGTTTTTAGTTAGGTAGATCTGTATTTGGTTAGTTATTTAGTTAGTTATGTAGATCTGTATTTTTGGTTAGTTAGGTAGGTAGATCTGTATTTGGGTGTTTAGTTAGTTAGTTAGACGACAAAAAAAAAAACGAAATAAAAGAAGAAGAGTTTCTTTAATCGACAATTATATTGTCGATTAAAGAAACTCTTCTTCTTTTATTTCGTTTTTTTTTTGTCGTCTAAATAGTACCGAGAAGATTATTACAGTAGTTAGTTAGTTAGGTAGATCTTTATTTGGGTGTTTAGTTAGTTGGTTAGGTAGATCTGTATTTGTGTGGTTATTTAGGTAGATCTGAATTTGGTTTTTAGTTATGTAGATCTGAATTTGGTTTTTAGTTATGTAGATCTGAATTTGGTTTTTAGTTATGTATATCTGTATTTGGTTAGTTAGTTAGTTAGTTAGGTAGATCTATATTTGGGTTTCAGTTATGTAGATCTGAATTTGGGTAGTTATTTAGTTAGGTATATCTGTATTTGGTTAGTTAGTTAGATCTGTATTTGAGTAGTCGTTTAGGTAGATCAGTTTTTGGCTGGTTATTCAGGTAGATCTGTATTTGGTTAGT